GTCCACTAACCCAGCCCTACAGAAAATTTTGGAAGGAAAACTCCAACCCAAGGAAGCTAATTACAACCAGAAAAACATAGGCATTAGAGAATCCCTCTCTACCAAGAGCCAAAAGAACAAAGGGGTGAAATTCCACACATAATTCCACCAACAACAACCACTGCAAATCGAAGAAGGATGAGCAATCAATGGTCATTAATATCCCTCAATATTAATGGCCTTAACTCACCCATAAAAAGACACAGACTAGCAGAATGGATTCGAAGACAGAACCCTTCCTTCTGCTGCATACAAGAAACACACCTCACCCTCAAAGACAGACATTACCTGAGAGTTAAAGGTTGGGAAAAAATTTTTCAATCAAATGGACCCAAGAAACAAGCAGGGGTAGCAATCCTAATATCTAACAAACTGGACTTTAAAATAAAATCAATCAAAAGAGATGAAGGAGGTCATTACATACTCATCACAGGTGAAACCCACCAAGATGAAGTGTCTATCCTGAATATCTATGCCCCAGATACAAAGGCATCCACATTCGTTAAAGAAACATTATTAGAACTTAAATCTCATCTAAAGCCCCACACAGTTATAGTGGGAGATTTCAACATACCACTCTCACCACTAGACAGGAATACCAGACAGAAACTCAACAAAGAAGCAAAGGGTCTAATAGAAGTAATGACCCAACTGGGATTAACAGATATCTATAGAACATTTCATCCACATAAAAAAGAATATACCTTCTTCTCACCACCACATGGAACCTTCTCAAAAATCGAACACATACTTGGCAACATATCAAACCTCAGCAGCTACCAAAAAATTGGAATAACTCCATGCATCTTATCAGACCACCATGCTTTAAAATTAGATTTCAACAACAACAAAAATTGCAGAAAACCTACAAACTCATGGAAATTGAATAATGCTCAACTGCACCATCCCTGGGTCAAAGAGGAAATAAAAAAAGAAATTAAAGACTTCCTCTAATTCAATGAGAATGAAGACACAACATACCCAAACCTATGGGACACTTTGAAAGCAGTGCTACGGGGGGAAGTTCATAGCGCTAAGTGCTCACATGAAGAAACAGGAGAACAGTTATACCAGAGAATTAACATCACAGCTGAAAGCTCTAGAACACAAAGAAGCAAACTCCCCCAGGAGGAGTAGACGCCAGGAAATAATCAAATTGAGGGCTGAAATCAATAAAGTAGAAACCAGGAAAACAATACAAAGAATCAATGCAATGAAGAGTTGGTTCTTTGAGAAAATCAACAAGATAGACAAACCTATGTCCAAACTTACCAAACCGCAGAGAGTGAACACGCAAATTAACAAAATCAGAAATGAAAAGGGGGACATAACAACAGACTCTGAGGAAATCCAGAAAATCATTAGGTCATACTTTGAAAACCTGTACTCCACAAAATTCGAAAATTTAAAGGAAATGGATGACTTCCTGGATAGCTATCACTTGCCAAAACTAAATCAAGAACAGATAAGCAATTTAAATAGACCTATAACCCCTATGGAAATAGAAGCAGTCATCAAAAGTCTCCCAACCAAAAAAAGTCCAGGTCCAGATGGCCTCAGTGCAGAATTCTACCAGAAATTCAAAGAACAGCTTATACCAATTCTTCTCAAAGTGTTCCACACAATAGAAGCAGAAGCGTCTTTGCCAAACTCTTTCTATGAGGCTTCAATAACCTTGATACCCAAGCCACACAAAGGTACAACTAAGAAAGAGAACTTAAGACCAATATCCCTCATGAACATTGATGAAAAATACTCAATAAAATACTGGCAAATCGGATCCAAGAACACATCAAAACAATCATTCACCACGATCAAGTAGGTTTCATCCCAGGGATGCAGGGATGCTTCAACATACGAAAATCCATCAACGTAATCCACCATATAAACAAGCTGAAAAACAAAAATCACATGATCATCTCAATAGACGCTGAAAAAGCCTTTGACAAAATCCAACACCCCTTCATGATAAAGGTCTTGGAGATACCTGGGATAACAGGGACATACTTAAACATAATAAAAGCTATATACAGTAAACCAACAGCCAACATCAAACTAAATGGACAGAAACTCAACGCAATTCCTCTAAAATCAGGAACAAAACAAGGCTGTCCACTCTCTCCATACCTTTGCAACATGGTACTTGAAGCTCTAGCTATTGTCATACGACAACAAAGGGGGATCAAGGGGATACAAATTGGGAAGGAAGAGGTCAAACTTTCACTGTTTGCAGACGATATGATAGTTTACATCAATGCCCCAAGGAACTCTACCAGGGAACTCTTACAGCTGATTAACACCTTCAGCAAAGTGGCAGGCTACAAGATCAACTCAAGAAAATCAGTAGCCCTACTATATACAGATGATAAAAGGGATGAAAAAGAAATCAAAGAAACATCACCCTTTACAATTGCCACAAACAACATAAAATACCTTGGGGTAACACTAACCAAACAAGTGAAAGACTTGTATCACAAGAACTTTGAATTTTTAAGGAAAGAAATTAAAGAAGCCCTCAGAAAATGGAAAGATCTCCCATGCTCTTGGATAGGTAGGATCAATGTAGTAAAAATGGCAATCCTGCCAAAAGCAATCTACAGATTCAATGCAATCCCCATTAAAATCCCAGCACATTTCTTCACAGACCTTGAAAGAACAATAATCAATTTTGTATGGAAAAACAAAATACCCAGGATAGCCAAAACAACCCTGTTCAACAAGGCAATGTCTGAAGGCATCACCATCCCTGACCTCAAGCTCTATTATAGAGATATAGTCCTGAAAACAGCTTGGTATTGGCACAAAAATAGACAGGTAGACCAATGGAATCGAATTGAAAACCCGGGCATTGACCCACATACATACGAACATCTGATCTTTGACAAAGAAGCTAAAAATATACAATGGAATAAAGAAAGCATCTTCAACAAATGGTGCTGGCATAATTGGAGACTGGCATGTAGAAGAATGCGGATTGATCCATGTTTATCGCCATGCACAAAACTTAAGTCCAAATGGATCAAAGACCTCAACATAAATCCAGCCACACTGAACCTCTTAGAAGAGAAAGTGTGTGGTACCCTTGAACGAATTGGTACAGGAGACAGCTTCCTGAACATAATACCAGTAGCACAGACAGTGAGATCAACAATTAATAAATGGGACCTACTGAAACTGAGACGCTTCTGTAAGGCAAAGGACACAGTCAGCAAGACAAAAAGGCAGCCCACAGAATGGGAAAAAATATTCACTAATCCCACATCTGACAGAGGGTTGATCTCCAAAATTTACAAAGAACTCAAGAAGCAAGTCTCCAAAACAGCAAAGGACCCAATTAAAAAGTGGGCTGCAGAACTAAATAGAGAGTTTTCAATAGAGGAGTCTAAAATGGCTGAGAGGCACTTGAGAAAGTGCTCAACATCCTTAGCCATCCGGGAAATGCAAATCAAAACAACTCTGAGATACCATCTCACTCCTGTCAGAATGGCTAAAATCAAAAACACTAATGACAATTTATGCTGGAGAGGATGTGGTGAAAGGGGGACACTCCTCCATTGCTGGTGGGAGTGCCAACTGGTTCAGCCACTTTGGAAATCAGTATGGAGATTCCTCAGAAAAATGGGAATAAACCTACCAAAAGACACAGCAACTCCACTCTTAGGCATATATCCAAAAGATGCCCATTCATACAACAAAGATGTCTGTTCCACTATGTTCATAGCAGCTTTATTTGTAATAGCCAGAACTTGGAAGCAACCTAGATGTCCCTCAACCGAAGAGTGGATAGAGAAAATGTGGTACATTTACACAATGGAGTACTATTCAGCAGAAAAAAACAATGGAATCATGAGATTCGCAGGCAAATGGATGACACTAGAAGAAACCATCCTGAGTGAGGTAACCCAGTCACAAAAAGAGAAACATGGCATGTACTCTCTCATATATGGGTTTTAGACATAGATCTGGGGAGTGCCTGCCTACAATCCTATGGCCAGAGAGTCTGGGAAACAGAAACTTCATTTAGTGGCTGATCGAAGAAGAGGCAGACTCCCTCGGTTAAGTACTGAGCTGAACTCAAGAAAGTCAGTAACAGAGAGGGAGGACTGATGATCAAAGGGATTAAGACTGGGCTGGTCTAACCCCCAGAAACAGCTGACCAGACAAAGGTTAACTCTTGAATCCCAGGCATCAGCCTGGGAATCCAGCATGGGACTGATCAAGACCCCCTGAATCTGGGTGTTAGTGAGGAGGCCTCGGTAATCTATTGAGCCTTGGGCAGCAGATCAGTACCCATCCCAAGTATACACACGGACTTTGGACTCCCATAGAACAATGTGAGGTGCACTCTCACCCTGAACTCTTGGGGAAGGGTCTAGGCCCTGCCCTATATGAAATGACAGACTATGAACACCCCCATGGAGGGCCTCACCCTCCCTGGGGGAATGAGGGGATAACTGGGGGGGGGGCTTGGGGGGAGGGCACAGGAGGTGGGGAGAGAAAGAGAGAGGGACCTGGAACTGACTTGTGAAGCAACCTTGTTTCTTATCTAAATTTAAACTGGAAAATAAAATTTTTAAAAAGTACTTTCTTCAAGAATGATAATGATTTTAAAGAGAAAAAAATATGTTTTAAACAAATCCTTTCACGGCCTAAGATTCCTTTTGATAAATATAAATTCAAAGATATTCAACATCTATCTTGAAAGCTAAAGTTTGTAAATAAATAAAGAAATTTGTAAAACTCACACTGACTATGGATTTCAAAACAACAAATAACAGGGATTAGCTCTTATAGTCCTCATTAGCTATTTTATAACCATGTTACTAAGATAGTCATTCACATCTAAATTTTTACTTTTAAATTAATGACAATTATGTGCCAGACACAGGAGTAAACATTATGATGCATTGCAAAAGGCACGAGACAGTATTAGAGCAGACTATGAAAGTTTCTGAAAATGATTATAATTTTATGACTTTTTTCAGAGCACCCAAAACTTCCTTGTTTCTCAAGCTGTAAATAAAAGGGTTTAGCAGAGGAATTACAACTGTGTAGAACAGTGAATACATTTTATCCTGTTGTTTACCTGGACCAGACCCATGACTCACATACATGAAAAGGAGAGTGCCATAGAACAAAGAGACAGAGAGCAGGTGGGCACTGCAGGTGAAGAAGGCTTTCTTTCTGCTCCTATCAGACTTCATGTTCAGGACAGCAAACAGGACACGGGCATAAGAGACTAAAATAGTCACAGAGGTACTGATTTGTATGGAAGAAGCACAAATAAAGACAATCAAGGCATTAAGAGATGGATCAGTGCAAGCAATTGTATAGAGTGGCAAGATTTCACAGTAGAAATGGTCAATTATATTGGACTTACAGAAAGTTAATCTGAATAATAACCCCACATTGAGTCCAGAGTTAACAAAACCAGCTACATATGACAAACTTACTAACACAGTGCAGAGTCTTTTGGACATCATCACAAGATAGAGCAAAGGGTTGCATATGGCTACATAGCGGTCATAGGCCATTGCAACCAATAGGAAAATTTCAGTAGTTACACTATAACAGAAAAAGTAAAATTGGGCAAAGCACTCACCCAGAGTTATAATGTCACTCTTATTTAAAAGTGTCATAAGCATCTTTGGAGTCACTGTGGATGAAATACAGGCATCAGTAAAGGCTAAATTCTAAGGAAAAGGTACATGGGAGTATGAAGATGGGGGTCCTTCCGGATGAGAAAGATTAAGCCAAGGTTGCCCACCATGGTGATGACATAAATGAGGAAGAACACCAGGAACAGGGGGACTTGCAGGTCTGGACGATCTGTTATTCCTCTGAGAACAAACTCAGTCAGCAGGGTCCTGTTCACCTCCATAACATCCCCTCAGCCTGCTCACTGCAGAGAAGGAAGGGACATAAATATGAATAAAACTGGCCTAGAGTGGCATCATATTCTAGTCTCATAGACCTGTGCTGCATTTCTTCCTTAATCGAGAAATATGAACATGTAATGATTCCGCATTTTACGGCATGCTGGGAACACAAAGTATTTTCTTACTTTTGATATAACAAAATTTGACATGCAATTATCTGAAAACTAAATGAGTAGGCCATTGGTTTGCCTTTATTCCTGTAAGTCTCAATTACTGCAAATGATGCACATGCCTGTCACAAAGGTTGTGTACATACAGAATTTACAATGGCAAAATATATAGTACATTTTATACCAATATATTTTAAAAGCCTAAGTGAACGTGAAAAGTCTCTTTTTCAATTCCTCATGAACTGTTTTGATATATGTTAATGAGGCTATATTCACTATACAATATAATGTTTTACCAAATGGTATTTCAGTTGAAGTGTAAAATGCTGTTTGAACATACACATTTCTCAAGGGTCTCTTCCATTTTTCTTCCCCTTTCTTCTAGTCCTATTTCCCTCCAAAAAATACACCATTTCCACTTTAATTTCATATGTAACTTTCAAATATTGTATCTTATACCAAAAGTTACTATTTATTTGTTGTTGTATAGATGTTATTTCATCCAAAGACATTGTCGAGTAACAAGATAGTGATAAAAATCTTACTTATACTGTTTTCCCTTGCTTACTTTTGTGTTATCTGATATGCATTCATAAAAACAACCACAGACTTAAGACTATTGTACTTTTTCTCAATGCAATATAAGAGTGAGATTACAAAAATGCAGATGAGATTAGAACTTACAAAAGAAAAAAGTATAGATACACAAACAGGGTTTTCAATATCTGAATTCAACTTAAATGACAAGTTATAATTTTTGAAGGGTTTTTCTGTGGCTTTGGAGGCTGTCATGGAACTAGATCTTTTTTGACTAGACTGGCTTCGAGCTCACAGAGATCTACCTACCTCTGCCTCCAGAGTACTGGGATTAAAGGCTTGTGCTGCCACTGCCCTGCCCAAGTTATAATTTTGTATACAAAATTAACTGAGAGAAATTGATTGTTAAGAATTAATAGGGATGAGAAAAAATGCAAGTTTTGCTGGTACCCACAAATGTAATAAATTAAGGAAGTTAGGATAGATGATGTAGAAAACCAGGGAAAAGGGAACACCATAGTATATTTCTGTATTGACATAATATGAAGAGTATGCACATAAATAACTTATACCTTAACATCCCTGTAATGCTGATTTAAAATTGTGGTTGGGAAATAGAAAACACAAGGATAAGTGACTAAGGATTTTGTTAATAGGGTTAGACAGATTCTTTTGAAAGATCTTTTGTTGTAATTTAACCAAAGAAGAGCAACAGAGAAAGACAAAGTTCAAGCAGAGGGTTTTTTTTTAATTGGGGAAAGAGATCATTAAAAGGGGAAAGGGGAGGGGGGGAGATGTCCTCCGGAATCAAGAGCAGCAGGAGAGAAGAGAGAGGAAAGAAGGGGAGAGAGAAGAAAGAGGAGAGAGAGAGGGAGGAGAAACAGACAGAAAAAGGAAAGAAGAAAGAGAGGGGGGGGGAAAGAAGGAGGTGGGTGGGGCCCTTTAAAAAGGGAATATAGTGAATATGCACAGGTGATGCTCTTAGTGGCTGCAGCTGAGGGCGAATCCTGTCAGAACCCCAAGGACAGACCAGTGCAGATTCCTGAATACTAACATGTTGGTCAATCAGATGGCTTTTCTATCAACTTAAACATTAGATTTATCCTACTCACCAATTTTTATACAATTAGCTAATAAGCTCATACTCAAATATGTGGTTCCAAACAACTAATTTTCTCCAAACATTTATTATTAAAAAGTAAAATAGTGTCAAATTAAATGTAGAGCTCATAGGGGAAAGTATGTACACAAAATATAATTTAAGGAGATAGAAGCATGAAGACGATAAATACTTCATAGAAGAGTCTCTAACATTTTTGTTCCACTTAAACAGTGAAATTTTCTGTGAGATGCAGTCTCTTCCATCTTTATTGGGAATAAGAAAAATGAAAATTTGGAGTTTAATTAAGCATTTAAACACATTAATTTAGAAATTGTCTGAATAACAATTGTGTAAAAACTATCACTATATGTCAAATATTGCTGAATTTTCTTACTATGATTTTGTATTGATTTTTGTATTTGTGTTTCAGTGGGTATATTTCTATATAGCAAGAGAGATAAAATAATGTTCATATCTCTGGTGTTCCTGAAATGTCTCAGTCATTCAGAAACACTATAGAGTCTATTACTATGAAAGAGCCAGTGGGGTTGGATTCTGTTTATCTTGATTCATAATCTTAGAAACATACAGTTTTCATTAATTAAGTCCTCCAAATGTGAAGCCCTCAGAGCTCAGCTCATAGCAAAGTCCTCTCCAGGGTTCTTCCAAAAGCATGAACTGTTTATGTCATTAAAATCTATAGTGTTGGATACTTTCACTGGGAAAAAAACAAGTATTTGTTTTGGATTCCTGTAGCTGCTACATTTTAAAAAGAAGGTAATTTAAAACAACAAAAGTGTATTCACTTCACATTTTCTGATGTCAGGAGTCTAAAGTCAGCATCACTGGTTGACATTCAAGACTGTGAGCCATCTGCACTCCCTTTGGAGACCCAAGGAAAACCCCTCTCTTTTCCCTTTTGACCTCTAGTGGCTATGGGCATTCTGTGTCCTTAAATCAAACTCTTGCTTCAGCTTTCTGGAATCTCCTCCTCTGTATGTTTTTTATGGATCTTATTAATATTTTTGATATTATAATTTAATCTTAACATTTCTCCCTTCTCTTTTCTCTCTCCAAACCCTCTCATATGTCCTTTCCACTTTTTCAAATTAATGGCCACTTTTTCAATAATTGTTGTAGCATGTAGATATGTATACAAATATACAAATATATTTTTAATTATAACCTGGTCATCTGGATATTATTTGTATGTACTTTTCAGGACTGACCATTTGGCACTGGACAACTGAGTGTTGTACTCCCCTATGAGGAAGACCACCTCTCCCATTCCCAGGTTTCCTCAGTCGCCCATAGTACTTTGTGCAGGGTTGAGGCCTTATAACTTTCCCCTGTGATAATTTTTTAAAGAGATAGGAAGGAAGATCACAAATTTGAGTGGATAGGGAAATGGAGAGGATCTAAGATGAGTTGAGAAAAGGGAAAACGTAGTCAAAATATATTATATGAAATTTAGATAAAATGAAAAGAAAATTCTGACAAAACCAATGCAACTGATATGGCAAACTCTTCCTTACTTCTTATATGGAAAACTATATTAACTCTTGTATGAAATACTACATAAGCCTAGAGCCTGCTGAGTATGAAGATATAGACAGCCTAAGAAATCACACACTACATGATATTCAACTGTGGAATGTGTTCCTGATTCTGGAAACCTTCCAAACTAAAACTCAGAAAGGATGCCTTACTTAAAAAAACATTCAACAGTTCAATTGTATAGCAATTTCTTAGTAAAGTACAATTACCCCAAGATCGTTTCTGTCATAATTACTACTATGCACAAAAGAGTTCATAAAGCTTGTTTTGAGGGCTCAAGAAATGTGTTGGCTTTTCTAACATGTATTCCCCAAATATCCTAAGAGACTATGATTGTTTATCATTTTTAATGAGAACCATAACACAGAGGTTGACCACACAGACTCTTGTACCTTTACATGATTAATCTCAAATCTTTAGACTATAATCACATAATTATGAAAGCATGGAAATTCAGAAAAAGTACACAAAACATTTTGCTTAGATTTCTAGGAATGTTTTATGTCCCATTTGTGAGATAAATCTCCTGAAAAGATATTTTCATATAAATTGACACATGCCATTATCTTCTCATATAAATTATGAGAAACTGTTTGTATAAAAATAATTAAGTGTTTAAAATTGGAGTAAAATATTTTTTCACCCAATAATGATGGAAATGTGCATAGGCATAGATGCCACAAGACTTACATCTTCAAAAACCACTTACATCTGCAGGAACAAGGGTCTCAGTGACAGCTGTCCTTCTTACACCAGTTTTCTCTAAGAATAGCATTTTAGAGAGAATGGCATTTATTTCTTGCAATCTTCAACACCATTTAAATATAAAAACTCCATGCTATCAAGATATCCCCAAAGGATAAAGCCAATTTTCTGTGCATTGTTCATTAATCAGCAAATCAAAACTAACCAGTGAGTAACTGGTCTTACATGAGCTTGAGTTCTTTCAAGCTACCAAGTTAGAGGCCAATTAAAATAAATGCAATGTTTACTCCATGGAGACTCCTCAAATTATGTAACCAGTTTTCAATCAAAAGCTGAATCCGAACAGCACACATAATATACATTGTAAAAAAATGTTTATGTTGGGGGCTGGATGGACGGCTTAGTGGGATTGGAGAGATGGCTCAGTGTTTAAGAGCAATGACTGCTCTTCCAGAGGACCTGGGTTCAATTCCCAGCACCCACACAGCAGCTCACAGCTGTCTGTAACTCTGGTTCCAGCAGTTCTGCCATCCTCACACAGACATATATGAAGGCCAAATATCAATTCACATAAAATAAAAATAAATTATAAAAATGTTTATATATATGCTATATGTGAATATGTATATTAATTTTCTTTATAGCAGTTATCAAACTTTCCCATAGTATTTGCTACTTTGAACAAATATTGTGAGAATTCAGCATCTAGAAATAGGTTAGTAGATTATTTCACACCTTCTGTCATTAAGAATAATTTTTATTCAACCATATGGTATATATATGCAATCATTTCTTATATATGAAACCAACAAATTTAGCATGGTTCACTGAGAAAGAATATCTAAAAAATATTAAAGAAGCAAAACTGTGTAAAATCACAAAATAAACAAATGGTTTGATCTCCCTGACCACTGGCGAATACAGGTAATAT